TATTACTTGGTCCAAAGAGGTAGTTGACGTGTTCTTGCGGCTCCCCAAAGGATCCATAGCATGTGACGATGCGCTGGACACACGACTGAGTCGAGCTCACTCTCCATTTCCTCTGATGATGAAATTGCCGATGCTGGTCGGCCTGTTGTACATACTCATTGCCTCTCATTCTGCATGCAAGTTTTCGCATGGGGAGGTGACCCCAATTATCTTTGTCGTATCTCCTGTAACAGTTTTTATTACTGTAAAGAAAAGACAACTTCAGCCTACGAGATTTAGAAGAGAAGTCTTTTATTTTTATATAAATTACAGAGTTTACTAAATAAAATATTTAAATTAAACATTAAATTGATAACAATAACTAAATAATTAGAGTTAATAAAATAATATATAACTTAATACAAAATTAAAGATAAAAAGAAAAACAATTTTACCTGTAAAGAAAAGACAACTTCAGTCTACGAGATTTAGAAGAGAAAGTGAGGAATCAGACAAAGAAAATTAGCGGTTAGAGACTTTGAACCAATTAAAAACAAGAACGTATAGACAGAAAACAAGGAATAAGAAATAATTCAGGGAATACAGAAAATAAGGAATGGAAATATACAAACGGAACAGACCGAAAATATGATAAAATAAATAAAAAAATAAGAAAACAAGTACTACTATTACATCCTCCCCCCTTACATGAAAACTGGTCCTACAGCTTTAAAAAATACTGACTCAATTCTTCTAATTTTTTCTGCTTCTTAAATAAGTTCTGGGTTTTGGTATTGGATGTGTACGGGATCTAGTCAAAGGGCCCCGATAGGAAGAGCTGTCACTGTCTGAGTCTGATAAACAAGAAGAAGAAGGAACAGGAGGATCAATTGAGATTTTTTTCTGTTTTCTTTTAGATGGTATTGGTCTATTGACGGGGAAAACGGGTAAGGATGTTAAAGGTAGGAGCATGTTCCGATGTTCCGATTTTCTGAGCCTTTACCAGCCTTTTTCTTACTAGCACCACACCTGATGAATATGGACTTTCAGATCTTCTAATTACCCCCAGTTTCAGCATGTCCTGCAAATGTTCTCTTACTTCATTTATCATGGATGGAGGTATCCGACTGTGTGTCTCGGTAAAAGGCAGGTTATCCGTAAGATTTATGTGATGCTTTGTGATGTTAGTTTGACCTAAATCTAAGTTATTTTGGCTAAACACAGACTGCCATTTTTTTAACATGCAAGTGACTTTTTCCACTTCACTGGGTTTTAGAGTTTCTGAAAGGTCAATTTGAAATAGCTTTGAAATGTCAAGGTCTCCCTCAGAAGAACAATTATTGAGACTCTATGGAGAAAGGATATCCACAGGATACAGTTCAGACAAGGCAAATTTGGCAGGGATTGTAACTGGTTTATCTGAGTAGTTGGTAACCTCTATTGGAACACGCTGTGATTTGACTCCAGGTTTTAGCTCAATCAGACCTGGGGAGATAACTAATGTACCAGGTAAATGTGAAGAGCTGCTCTCATCAGCTAATACCCTGATATGCATACAAGAAAATGCTGGTCTAGTTTGTCCATGAATTACCGTACGACAAGAAAGTTTTACGGTAATGCTCTTTGTGGAAGTGACAACTCCCAATGACCCTTGTTTCTGAAACAGAGCATTTGCAGAGACAATGGCTTTAAAAACATTTTGCCACACCACGTCTACGTCTCTTGGAACTATCTTGCCTTCTAAAATAACTTTCAAAACGTTGGTGCCTATGAGCAATGGAACTTTTATGTGATATTTGTTGGTGGGTACTACTAAACACAGGAATGGACGGTTCCTGTAATCCGGGAACTGAAAGGTTCACTTCTGTATAGCCAAGATACTGCAAAGTAGTTCCACCAGCTGCTTCCACCTGAATAATATGATCTAAATCAAGCACTTCTAGCTTGAGGTCATCACACAATTGCTTAGAAAAAGTACTGACCATGGAACCTGTATCAAGTAAGGCCAAAACAGATTTGTTATTGACACTAACAGATGTCTCATTGGCTTTACCAACCAATCGCTGAAGTATAGGTTTATCGGCAACATCAGGTCTGGGTATCTTGTTTTCAGTCTCAGGTTTGTGAGGCATGACATTAACACAATCTACAACCTGCCCCCGTTTGTAGACTGTCTTGAGTTTTCCGGACACTCGGTTTGTTTGTGTCCTATTTTTTTACAAGCAACCTGTGAACTGCTTACGTGCAGATGTCTTTTCTCTATCCAATTTATCCAATCTGTTTTTTAGAGTCTCCAACTGAAAAACAAGATCATTCAATTTTGACGTCATGTCACTTGTAACCGTGTTTTGTTGAACACTAGCAGAACTTACCTGTTCTTGCTCTGCTATCCTGGCTGCCCTGAGTAGTTCATGATAACTTGCACCAGAATCATATTTGTGTTTTATGCTAAATTTGATGTTTGTTGAGGACAACCCACTATAGAATTTATTGCGCAACTTCCTCCTTATCCCTCAGAAGTAATAGGATCTGCCCTGCGTACTTCCCCAAGTAAATCCTCCAACCTACAAGCCCATTTCGCGACAGTCTCAGAACTCACCTGGTTGGCATTGTAGAATTTCTGCAAAGCAGCTTCTGTGGCAAAATTTTTCCGAAGGCCATATCCAACTTCTCAATTAAGAGGTCAATTGTCATCTCTTCGTCAAGCGACATATCCATGTTGAGCAATATATCAGCAGCAGTTCCTTTTAGGGATCTCCGTATAGCTAAAAAGATCATTGCAGAAGGATAGACACCGTCTTTGACAAGACTCATGACTTCGTATCGCCACTGTTGACATGAAGACTCACCCTTTCCATCATCACCTGAGAAATAAGAAATTTTGGGTGGAACACCAGAAGTAGCAGAAAAAGTAGTGCCACCAGGTGTACTTGACACATTCTGAATAGGAGCAGAGGCTACTGCTGGACTAGAAGCTGAAACAGTTTGTCTGGGAACAGATGATACTGTTGGTGAATGAGCTGGAATATCAGACTCAAAAAAGCGATGGACAGGTCTTTTAGTTGAATGAGTTTCCTGAAATTCATTTTTTAAAATCTGAAACATCAAACGCTTGTTATCAAGGGACATTGCACTCAACATATCCTCCATGTATTGTGCAGGTGTTTTAGCTGAGATGTCAGAAGTATCATCAGCCGCTTCAGTAATTGTTTTTTTTTTTTTTTTCTTGGAGTAGGTTTAGGTTTTTTTACCCCTAGAACCTCAAGACAGTTAGATATCCCTCTAATTCAAGGATCTCC